TTTAACTTTTGAGCTGTAATGAACTAACTAAAATATTCTCCTGATGCTTCTACTAATCAGTTTTGAATCGTGTAGCAGTTAGGCTTTATTCCTGTTTAGCCTTCTGGCTAAAGTGAAGCTATTCTTCTTCTTCTTATTATTATTATTTGTTTTTGGCTTTTGCTGTTTTACAATAAAAGAAGCTTGCTGGAAGTTCCAGGTTTTGGTGTTTGGTTTTAAGGACTGTTAACAACATATTCATCAACATCAATTTCAACAATCATGACTGCTAAAGGAGTGGGAGTTTGAGAGAAGGCTAAGTATGTTTCTTTTGAGGGTAAGAGTAGGTAGATTGAAGGTTAGAGAGGTAGATGGTTTTGAAGGAAGGTGAGATTGAGAAGGCTGAGAGGGTGTAGAAGGAAAATAAAGGGAGGGTTTATAATAGTGGAAAGAAGGGACTGTTGTCAAGAAGGAAGAACGAAGAGCAAAGAAGTAAAGAGGGTTAGAAGAAAAAGAATGTAAAGTTGTGTAAGAGTATGCATGTTATATGTTTTATATCTGTATGTTTATGTAATGATTATAATTTTAATTAATACAAATTAAAAATTCAAAAAAATAATTAAGATCAAATTCCATGTCTTGCTAGTTGCATTTATCGATTTGAGTAATGAATTGTAATTGTCCTGAAATGGCATCATCCTTCAATGGTGTAAGTCATTTTTAGGACTTTGTCCCAAAGATCCTGACTATCTAGTTTGCTACTTCCATTGGGAGAAAGCTTGCTTAAAGAGTCGTTAGGAGCAATTTTTTGTCCGGGGATGGACTTAAAGGTCTTCTTTATTGGGCCAGATGTTATATTTGGGTTCGCTCCCTTACTTATTTTCTTTGGACCTTTAGATGGCAGAGGCTCCACATCTAACAATTTAGACAACTTCTTAAAATTCATTTTTATCTGTTTTGCTAGAGTATTGTAATGTTTGCAAGACATCTTTATGTTCTTTGTTTTCTTTATGTTTAATCTATGCTGGTGTGACTTTTTAACTCATTTGTTGACCTTAATCTTCCTTATATTATCTTTCTTCCTTTTGGTGCTATCAGGGCATGCAACAAACTCA